TTGGAGGAGCTAGAGACGGTCGAGATCAACGCCAAAGGCGAAGTGGCCGAGAGACCCGCCGAGAAGGAAAAGGAAGATGGCCAGGAGAAGTTGGCAACATTGAACAAGGAGCCGGAGGCCGCCGCCAAGGAGCCCAATGGACTCGTGCAGAAGACCCGCGCCAAGAAGCAGAAAGGTCCCGAGGAGAAGGCTGCAGCCAAGGAACAAAAAGGCCCGGAGCAGAAGCCCGCCAGGAAGAAGAAGAAGAAGCAGTTGGCAGAGGTGCTCAAAGCCCTGTAGGTTTAATTGTATTCTTTTGAAAGGGGAATAAAGAAATGGGAAAAATTTGTAAAAAAAAAAAAAAAAAAAACCAAAAAACGCTCAAGTTGGAGCTACCTAAGCAATGCTGTATTCTAAATCGGAATACATGAAAGAAAAGAAGAGATGTAATAAGATATTAAAATTAGAGGCACGGTGGGAAAATAAACTTGAAACACGTAATCAATTAAAAGAAATTGAAAATAAAATTGGTAAAAAATTTTGCTATTGAATATAAAGAATTACAGTTTCAAATTAAAATAGGATGAGAAAAAAAATGGAATGAATTATTATTATTGTTGATTATTTGTCCAGATTGTTACATCACATTATTTACATACATTGAATATAATTTATTTAAAATATTGTATGAAAACTGACATTGTTTTGAATGTATATTGTAAGAAAGTTTTGTAATTAATAAATTAGCAAAAGAACGTGTACTAAGAAATTTTTTGAAATATATTAAAATACAGGGAAAAATAAGAATTATAATAAAGTATTAAAATTAATATTGAAATTGGTTGAAATTAAAAATTTATATTATAAAAAATACAGCACATCAATAAATTGGAATAGATAGCAAATAATGAAAAATAATGTTATATAGATTGAAGCGGATGGAGATATTTAAAACCAAAATTTGACTGGACCGCACGGTGTTGACGCGGAAAAATGAGACGTCGGGTTCGCGGGTCGTTGGCAAAAAAAAAAAATCAACCTTTTTTCATCCTCGGATCGCGTTACTGCTCGCTTCTCCGACTAATCGCAACGCGCCGAATCCAAAGTTTTTTTTAGTTGAAAGAGGACCCAGACCCTTAAATCGTATTAAATTTTGGTGCGGATCTGAAGAGCCCTTTTTTCTGCGAGTTTTGAATCCCGAAATAAGGTGTTTTTCGGCCATAAGTTAGCGAAGGAGGCCGAAATCGTAGGTGTGCCGGAATTTTTCCCAACGCTCCCGTTTTTCCGCGTCTTCGGGTGCCCGGATTTTTTACGGCTAGGTTTTCACAAACCATAATGAAGACACTCTCGGCATTTAAATACGTATTTCAACAATTTATAATTAAAATGTGGCTAATTTATTTAAATACAATTTGCTTGGGAATAAAGGATGAATATTCAGAGTAATGAATAATTTTATTTGATCAACATCAGCACAATTAACCCCTGAACATTCAGACAGCAGTGCAAGCATTTGTGTTTGCCATGTTGCATAATTTGAAACTCGACGTTTGAATTAAAATTGCAAATTTCTTCCAGCGTACGTTGCGTCCAGAAAAAGTAACAAAAATTGATTATCTCGCCACTGCTTTTAATTATAAATCACACGACTTAGCCGCAGAGGATCGTCGGCCCACTTGCAGCAAATTTATCTCCTTTTTGCATCACTTTAATCCTTTTATCATTACACACAAAGTGTTAGTGGGTCGTCGGTGTCGTAGTGAATCAACGCGGTTGACAGCCATGCTGGTATGTGTCTCCCCAAAGTCTGCCCCGTGACACTGCGCGAGTGTTTGTTCTGCAGCACCACTCAAAAAAATTAAGAGCAAACAAAAAACAATTTCGTCTGTTTCAGCAAAGTGCCCCCGGTGGCCGCACAACTTTTTCTGCTGCTGCCACGGCTAATGAGCACCAACCCCGTCATTTTGACAGAGGCTTTTGCGTCTGATTGCGGTTCATTTAAAACTTGTTAACCAAGTAAAAAAAAAAAAACGTTTTAATAATAAAATAATGAGGCGCGTATCAAAGAATCGCACTTTTAGTTTCATTTTTCAATAAAACTTTATTATTTATTTATTTTATCATTTAATTTCACTTTCAGAAATTGAAGTTGTCAAAAAATGATTATCTAAAAGAGGACAAAAGTATTAATTTTATCTAGCTTAATGACTTTTTTAAGAGGTTAGAGGTGGCTTTACTGAAACTGTTTGAGAATAACTTGGCTTTAAAGAACCACGATTAAACGATAAAACCTCTTAAAAATAAACCCTGAAACTGCTCTACACTTTACAACAGTTAATTTTGTGCTCAAATGCAGCTCAGAACGTTTAGAAAAAATCTTTCTAGTAGTGTTGCGGATTTTTCCAAATTTTTCCTATATTTCGCAAATTATTTTATGTTTAACAATGAAGACAAAAATCAATATTAATAATATAAAAGTACATAATTTAAATATAAATTCAATTAATTCCATAAAAGTAAAGTTAATAGTAAATTTAAAAAACAAACACGGATCTATCAGTTTTATTTTCCAGATTTTGCAGATCATTTGTTTTTTCTGCAACATCATTATTCCATGAAACTCAAGAATTTTATATTTTTACTGAAGCCACTTTAAGAATGAATCTAAAGGATTGAATTAATTAATTTTTACGAATGAAATAAAATTTCTTAAGATCAAAATAGCTGCGCAAACTTTTCCGTGTGTCAAAACATTTAATTTTATATAATTTTATTTTAGCAAACTTTAAACCCGGTCTGGAAGATTTTGCGAGACCTTTGTGCAATAACACAGCACAAAAGCCAATAAATCTCTGGAGGGTGGCCTCGTCTCCAGCAGCGGCGTCAAGAGAGATGCTGTAATTCACATCGCAATCTCTCTGCCGCAGTTGTGTCTCTCAGCACAATGGCTCGAGCGGCGAGCAAACAGCACTCCTTTCATTTGCGCCGTTTCCAATTGGAATCAAATGTCCCGCTTGCATTATTCATTAAACGGCTGTGTGTCTTTTTCTTCCGACCGACAGCTGCGAAATTCAATCAAAAAGTCGTTTCTGATCCTTTACGTCCACAAAAAAGGGATTCGCCTTGAAAATTAAATAGATTAGGCGACTTGATTCATTGATATCAAAGAAAGAATGATAAGGAGGTTGAAAATTATTTCCTTGAAAATTTTATTGAAAATAATTTTTTTAAATCATTAGAGGGGTGTACGATTAACTCAGGGAATATTTTTCACGTTGAATATTAGGCTGGTAGTGAACAAGATTTATTATTCTTAAAAAAAATCTAGATTTGCATTGACTATGGTCAAATTGAACAGTTAGCAGTAGTTCAAATAAAATTAAAGAAAATAATATATAATAAATTTTTCTTGGATGTTTGAAATAAAAAAAATCATCATTCGCTTCCAATTTCAGAATACAATAAAAATAAAATAGGAATACCAAATTTAACAGGTCTATTATCCCGATTTTGACATCCTAAACCATTAAATTTTGTCTACTTTTACGACCAAAATTAAAACTTATCGCCTTGTTTATTTAATATTTTTTCTAATTTTTTTCTGCCGTTCAATCCGGATGATCCGATTCAAGGCGTTTTATAAGACTGATTGCTGACACGTCTCGCTCCTTCTCCAACCTTGAGGTGCTGCTGCTTTTTCGCATCCCCTATTTCTTCGAAGTGCCCTCTCTAGCAACGCAGAAGTGCATGTGACAGGTGGCTTCGAGAAAATGTAATTTCTTCACGCAGTAACTCTCAATCTATTTCGCACGCTATATCGGCAAAAAAGATCTCCGTGTGCAGTAACATAATGTTGTTTGAAAGTAAATATGGTTTATATAATCATTAGTCAATACGTGTTATCACAGCATTAATTGAATGAGCGTTGAAAATCATCGAAATAATCAAATGAATAAATCGAAATAAACCGATACTGCGTAAGAAAAGCACAGAAAATTATAATCGAGTGAGAATTATTGCTATTAATTTAGACATTTTTTTATTCATTAGGGTTACTCAAAATTTCTAAAAGTATTTTTGTAACAATGCTTCAATAGAATTGCATTTTAAATATTCAAAATTTTAATTAAAACGATTCATAAAACAATGTATGTTTTTCGTAAAATATTTTAAATATTTGTTGGGCCGTACAGTGAAAATTGCCTCATTAAAATGCAAGCCCGTATTTTTTACCAAACATTTAAGTTTTTGAAGGCAGAATTTTGGCAATTCTTATGCAAAAATACAGTACTAACGCTTTTTAACCATTGAACTTGTTCAGAATAATTGATTTCATTTAAATTAAATTATACTTCCGTTCATGAGATTCTAATGTGACTTAAATTGGGTTATAAATTATCCACTTGGAGAGAAAAATCTAATACACAGCAAATTTTATAAGAAATTTTTTAATCAAAATTTAACATCCCCAGGAGGGAAATATTGAAATAAATATGAAATATCGGTTGGGCGAGCGTTGCTGTAAGATTTTGTAATAAATCCTCAATTTTTCGACAAATAATATTTTTATGCAATAAAATCCAGCCTCCTCAGTGAAGATGAGCAACTTGTTTGTTTTTGCATGAGCCAGAAAATCATGCGGAAACAATTCAACAAATCAACAAAACTATAAATTTCATCACAAAATGATCACCTTGAGTGCCAAAAGGTTCCACAACAGCAACTTCAAGATCCGATATAGAAAATAATATTTTGTAACAAAAAATTACAAAAATTTAAAGTGAACTGTAGTTTTATCTGTTTCATACTGATACTAATATTTTAGATTTGTCCGTTGAAATTAAAAATAATTTTTCATTCTTCCCCCAAAAAAGATGGAATTTGTGAAAATCTAAACACGAAATGTTCCCGTTTTTTTCTTTGCAGCACCAAAGTTGAAGAAACGAAACTAGTATAGAATTGTTGCAATTCTATCGAAAATCTATGACAGAAAATCCGGAAATTTCTTTTTTAATTCTCACCTTTTCAGCGGCAAATCTGTCGGTGGCGGCCCCCGAAAGTTTGCGAATCCGTTTTTCACTTCATGTTGCGAGTGCACTTTGCAAACAGGTGGACACGTTGGGCAGATCAGAGTGAAAGGTGGAGGAGGTGAGAGAGGAAGAGAGAAGAGAGATTTGGCGGGTGCAGCACCTCCGACGGCCCGACATAGACTGACTGGGGGCGGCTCTGCCTCCGCTCACGTCTGGCTGCTGCGCTGCCTGCGCCCGCACACCACGCAGCCCGCACAACGCACTCTCTCTCTTGCTCTCTCTCCGGCAGCATAATGGCCAAAGTAAATAGGCCGCTGATGAACGAACGCCAGCCAGCCAACGCCGACTGCAATCAAGCTCCAGTGATAAATTAAAACGGCAGGGAGAGAGAGAACGTGTAATAATAATTGTGCTCCAGCGAAACACGACACGCCGACTGGGGTGACAATTATGTCGCGATTGCGTGCCAGTTTTTCGCTCGGTCTTTTGCACACACAAATATGAGATGTACCCACCGAAAGACGATTTCGGACAAATCGATTCGCGAGTAATATATTTAAAAGACACGTATTTATGTTAATCACCCAGTTCTTTTTTTTATTTTAATGTGAAGTATAACTTTTCTTCTTAAATTGAATTTTAATTTTTGGCTCTTTACGACATTATATTTCTTTCAGCTCCTGATGATGAAATTAATAATAGTTTGTACTTTTATATTTTAAAAAAAGTTTAAAAAACATTTTTTATACTTTTACACGACGTTCAGAAAAATCTGTTAGTCATGGTGCCTTTTTTACAAAAGGTTTTTTTATTTCATTTTTTGCTAATAATTTATTCTATAAAAAGTAATCTAATTGCGATTTACATCATATTCTAGAATGTAATGGGCTAATGAGCGAAAACTAAGCCTATGAGAGGCTGCAAAAGTCAGAATTAACTGACTTTGTTTTTTGTAATAACTATCGGAATAAGCTTAATTGTAAAACTAATTTTAGGAAGACCAATTAGCTTTAGACACCCTTTGTACACCTAGTTGTGTTCACACTACTTTTTTTAACACTTTACTGTTAATAATATATTCGTTAAAGCTTCAAGCTCAGAAAACGCAATTAAAGTGGAGAGAAAATAGAATTAATTGAAATGAAAAATATAATTTGTATGGATATTAAATCAAATGAAGTATTTTTACCCGTAAATAAAATCATATTGCCTAAAATATAATATGTGGGCTGATGGTTGCAATCAGTATTGATTTCTTTTTTCCTACAACAATATAAAAAATAATTATAAATTTTAGGCCCGAATCAAATATTTGGAATTGGTTTTGACTGAATTTTAATTCTTTCTTTGGAAATTTATTTGAAAATATTGCTATAAAAATTAATTTAATTATTGTTTCTTAAATTTTATTTGGTGAGTTTGCATGTGGGACAAAGTTGCCATTGTTCATTACACAATAAATTTACTTTGCAACTAAATGCAACCATACATGATATTATATGTATATGAAGTTATCTTTATACTTACAGACCTTAAAAAGGGAAAAATGAACAGGAGAAAATTTTTTAATAGTCTTTTAAATTTAAATTTCTACTCATATCCGGTCCATAATTTAAATAAACAAATATTGAAATTTATGCTGCATATAAATCCATTCAAATTGGAATTGCAAATTTGCATCGCATTTTAGATTTTAAATGAACTCTATTCTGTTAGATTAAAGAGCTATACAAAATTGACCAAATGGAAAAAACATCGATTAATTTTCTGTTTGAGGAAACTTTTTTAGGTCTTCTGCTGTGACAGAACTGCTCGATTTTTCAGCTAGGCACATGATTTTTTTGTCATCCCGTTGCATAACCCAGTGGCAGAGCGATTTGCAAATAATTGTATATTTTACTTCAACGTTTGGCCACTTTGACGCAATTAGCGTCTCGTGAGTAGCTGTGCGCGATTTTGCATGTGCGGAGAGGAGAGCGAACTCTATATCGCAGCGAACCCACAAAACATAGGCATCACGTGACCCCCACACCAGCAGAGGAGGCCCACAAGCGTCCAACAACACACGCCGTCGTCGGTCCAGTCGGTTGGCGGCGACCGTGCCACGCCGAGCACACGACCTACACGTGGTACAAATAGTGCGGAAATCTTCTTACGTTGACAAGTGTTTGTGAATTTTGGTGCTTGCTTCAGTGGTGCTCGATCAACTTTCAAATAAATGTGAGATGGAGGAAGATTCGCAAAGAGGTAGGTCTAATTTAAAACCGCTTGTTGAACTTTAGGAAAATAAACTAATAATTATTCATTATTTTCGAAGCTAAACTATGGGTTTAAAACCACCTATTGAAAGTAATATTTTCACCTATCATAGGATTAGATTGTTCACTTTGGAACAGTTATTTTGAAATAAATAAGATTTATCCTACAATTGATTAGCAAAAAACATCAAAACCTTTAAAAAAACCCTCATTCTTCCAGATTTCTCACAAGAACAATTTTGGCTCGTCCATATTTTAATAGTTCATGAAACTCTCTTTGATTTTATTACTCTGCTGCTTGTGATACTCTGGTTTTAATTTACACAATACACATGAAATCGATGGAAGAAGTTTTTTTTCATTTTGATTAAACCTAAAATTTAAATTAAATTTTTCAAAAACTACCGCAAATTGTAATTTTTAATACTGATTATGATTTGCGCTGAAAAATTTTTCGATTTATATATACGCAATAAATACGAATATAATTATATACTCAATATTAAAATGTATTCACTTTATCTCTATGGAATTATGTAACATGCAGCGTAGCTAGAAGGAGTGGCTCTCGGACTGATAAGGAATCAAAAACTTTTTTATCGCACTCTGTCAATGATGTATTAAGAGGACCAAAGTTTAAATCGCACAATCGAGTTCATTCTCCGCACACATCAAAATCTTATTCAAGTTTCACATTAATTTTACTTTTTTAGTTTTCTTTTTAACACCTATTAAATAAAACGATACAATTGTTGCAAATAAATTAAATTTTTTTCTTTTGAATCAGAAGAAAAATCTATAATAATAATTAATAATAATATTTTAATATGATCAGCATAATATTTTTTTAAACTCCATAGCATCAAAAGTGTATTAAAAAATTCCAATCTTTTTCATCACATTCTTCTTTATTCTCCATTCAAATTGAATAGATCCAGTCCATTTGACCCTTAAAATTTCATTATCAAAAAAAATCATAATGGAATTAAACAACAGTTTATCAAGAAACAAACTATTAAAGATTAGAGTTAAAACAAAGTTCTAATTAAAATTAATAGTTTGTCTGTAAATAAAATAAATACTCCATTATGAGTTTCAGTGAGAAGTTCACTTGCATTTTGTGCCTATTTTTCTCCCAACCAATTTTTTTCACAAAAGATTGTCTGACTTGTTTGGAGCAAAATAAATTGAATTGAATTTAACGAAGGCCAATTACAAGAAGTTTTTAAGTTAAATAAGATGTTAAAATTCGCAATACGCCTCCATTCTCACCTCGGTTTGGCGACAAGACGTGCCAAAAATACTCCCCCTGCTGCCGGTTTATAATTAAACCTTAATTCCGCACCCAAAAGATAAAAATAGTCGCGTGGCATTGACTCTCCTGCCAACAAAACCGGTTGGTAAATTTTTTTATTATTATTATTTCTCCTCTCGTGATCGTTCAGTTTGATGCCTCATCTGACCAGGAAGTCTGTTAATGGGTGTTTGAGCACACTTTTGTGTCTCCATCCAATATAGGGCTCTACTCGAGCGGCGAGAATCTGATTTGCAATCGGCGGCGTCGGTCCGATGGATTTTGATCGATCCTGATATGCTCGTTCGAAAGTTTGCATTTCCAGCTCTTTGCATATTTACTTGAAACGTTCACAAGTCATTGCAGGCACATAGGTTGATTAATTTTGATATTTTATGATAATAAGTTATTGACGTTTTGTGAAGTTCTTTTTATTGATTTTATATAATTACTTTATATTTAATAATAAATATTTTTTAACTACAAGAATTTAGATTGATTAATTCTGCTTCTTTTGCACCAATTTTTCTCATAAAAGGATTATTATTATTATTGCTTATTTTTTTTACTCGAAACAAAATTTTTAATGTACAGATAAAGTTATATAGAGTTGAACAATTGTTTCACTGTTTTTAGCATCAATTGCTTTCTTGACGAAACTTTATAATTTATGATGTAATAACATAGTATTTAAAAATTTTGGTAAAATTTTTTTTTCGATGCTTTCACCACTACCATCACTTGCTCTCTTAATCTCTCTTCAATTTCAATATTTTTCCAAATTTATTGTTAAAAGTTATTACGAATATTTATTTAACAATTTAAAATAGTTTTATCCTAAGGAATAGAAATTGAGAAACAATAATTCATTAAAAAAAATGAAAAATGAAATGCTAAGTGGTATCAAAAGATCAAAACCTAATTTAAATTTTTCTTTTTTACAGTAAAATTCCAGCGCCAAAATATATTTTGTTTCCAGAGGCTGTATCAGATAAATGAAAAAATAATTTTTTCTCATTGCGGTTTGTACGTATCACTTCAAATTTTGCAACTCGCCCCACTCTTCTCTTCGAAATTTTACGAAATATATGTACTAATATGCACGAAATTTTAATCTCGCCAGACGAGTTTTTTCTTTCACATGTGTTTAAAAAATATCTCGCTAGACACATTGGACAGAAATTATATTAGAATTTAAGCTCCGAATCGATGTTCTAATCAGCGTTGAACTTTGCTCGCTTTGTGAGAGAGGCTCATTAAAATATTTATCAGTTATGCAACGAAGAAAAAAAAAATAAGTCGCAGATAAATTGAAAAATTAAAGATCTCTGGCCTGTTGCCAACTCACGACTGGATCATGGTAAAGACATCAAAGTCTCCCTCAATTTTCGCAAGTTTTGAAATTTAGAAACAAAACCTCGCCAATTTTAATTTAGCGAAACTACGAGTTACGTAACTTGTTAGCTTCTTGCGTGGCCAGAAATAGACGTGCTGACCATACGTTGGTGGTGTTTGCGAGCTGAAGCTTTTTTAGCGCTTGATAACAAGGTGCTTCCAACGGCCATGTATCGCCAGATATGAATATGGTTTATGAGACGAATGCAAGTTCCC